GGAACTTACCAATAATTAAATTCGTTTTTGAAATCTAAACAAAAAAATACAGAATTTTTAGTCAGTTAGTACTTACATTCTATTGAAATTATTTTGAAAAATCTAAAGAGAAAATAAGTCAGTTGATTTTTTCAAAATGTAACTTACTAACAATACAATTGTTAGAAGGAACTAAATAGAAAAAAGAAGTCAGATGTTGAAAACAGTAACCTACCAAAAATTAAATTCGTTTTGAGATGGAAAAAACAAAAAGAGAAGAATGTTTTTATTCTTAATTAGTACTTTTTTCTAGTGAATTATTTTGAACAATCTAAACAGAAAAAAGAATTCAATTGATTTTTTAAAAAGGTAACTTACCAATAAGACAAATCTGAGAGCGATCTAAGTAGAAAAAAAAGTTATATGTTCGACATAGTAACTTACCAATCATTAAATTCGTTCTGAAATCGAAAAGAGAAAAAAAAGAATTTTTTATTTTGTTTTTTTTCCCCTTCCTTCAAATGTGAGCTATACAAGTGTCTGAAATAGATTGATAATGAATGCCTCTTTTGTATTGCAGAGGCTAAGTGTAGTTTTTTTATGCAGTGGTGAAAAAGTGTATGTACGTGAAAGTGTATGTAGCTTATCTCCACCAAGAAACCAAACTATTGAGCAGATATGCTTCCATTCAATGAAATTTTTTTGTTCATCCGCATATTAAAGGTAGAAGATGTCGTCGTCTTCTGTGTATAAATTCTAGTCAATGGAAATCAGTATCAGTACGTCAGTGTTCCAGTGTGCGTCAGTGCAACAAGTGCAGTCAGTGTCAGTGTATGTACTGGCTCAGTGAACACCAATGTCGGTGCAGACAGTGGAACCAGTGCAATCAGTGTCAGTGTATGCACTGATTCAGTGAACACCATGTCGGTGCAGACACTGCAACCGAAGCAGTCAGTGTCAGTGTATGTACTGATTCAGTGAACGCCAGTGTCAGTGTATGTACTGATTCAGTGAACGCCAGTGTCAGTGTATGTACTGATTCACTGAACACCAGTGTCAGTGTGTCAGTGCGCTCAGTGCAGTGGTATCACTGTCAGTAATTCATTGTTTTCACCGAAACTGCACATCCCTAGTTACAATGAAATGGGGTGAAAAAGAAGATAAAGTATGTATTGCATATTATATGAGATTAGGAGTAATAATTGTATCATCATTGAACTTTAACAAATTAGTTTTTCAAATGTATTCGTATTCGAAGCAATTTAAAAGTGTGGATAATCACTTGGAATTTTGACGCCCCCATCTAGGAAGCTGAAAGTTTGACCATCCACGTTGTGCGACAAATTTTGGCTTGCGACAACCACCTTTACAATTACATCCAAGCCAATCGCATGGGCCACGTCCACAGTAAGGTGTACCTCTGTCATGTCAAGACAAACATCATTAATAGCATGACAACATTTCCCGACAACTGTTTCACTTTGCATGAGCAAACAGGCTAATGCAATTAATATTAATGCACGATAAATACCATTATGCATTTTGGAGAGAATGAGACACTATAAGAAAGAATAGCCAGATTTTGCATGTGAAAGTTATTATGTCAAAAGTAGATATCCACTGTGTACGAATAGTCGGATTCGATTAAACTCAGATTCGTCTCTTCTGACGTTTCTAGACTAGAGAAAAATCAGAAATAAACAATCGTTGTGAATTTTCGGTTACTTCATTATGTTTTCATTCCAGTTCTGACTATGTTGTAAGGGTGTGTTTGACACTATGAGCCACGCTTTAGCAGTGAACGGATACGTTCTGGATGAAGAGAAAATTCTCAGATACACCTACCTAAGCTCACCATCACCCGTGAATAAACCTAAATAAAACTGTGTGAAACTAGTGTAAAGCAACCAAAGAGTTCGATAATTATATTTCTTACTATTTTGAACTAATTTTCTTTCAGCCTAAATTAACGAATAGGAATTCAAACAGATTCGAGAATCTGGTGTAAACTCGGTACATACATGGCGCTAACTATCTTGAGTATGCGTGTAGATATGAGTCTGGATGTCGGTATAGATGTGGGCGCGAGTGAATAGATGGACAACACTCACATTCCACCTTGTCCTTTTTGTAGTCAAGATATTTTTTCTAAATAGAGCTTCGATGAAGGAATTCAACTCTATTTGAAACGAACTTGATGAGCGAATCGAGGTTTTCTAAGATCAAGGAATCTTACTTTGTAATCGGTTTTGTGAAATCGTGACATTGATTTTTGACGATGAAATACTTATAGATGTGGATTTCTGCATTACAAAGACATTAACAGAAACTTCTTAAGGGAGAGTGATTTTCATCCTATTGCTATGTGTTGACGAAACGTAACAGTTCAAAAATTTATCATAACCTCATCACCCAGTTAACGGTAACGACATCATTACTGTTACTCTATCACGGATAACGTACGGTTAACTTCCCTTTCCTAGTTTCATTATGGAGAAAAACTGTTTCGATCTTCATCTCACCATCTGCGTTTAAAATCGTCTTTGTTCTTGAAATTGTAATTATTTCTTGATGAATGAGATAAACTAAATCAGACTACAGTACAAAATGACTAAAACATTTCTACACAATTAGCTACTTGTTTCTGGCTGTAGAGGATGGCGATATAGTCAATGAATCAGCTATTGAGATTTGTTCGAGTATTTATAGCCGAGTCGTTGGATCATGGGAGCTTTGTTTGGATACAGGAGGAGGTACGAGAACGTTTTTTTTGGGATATATTTTTCTATAAGATTTATTTATTTATTCTGAATTTATTTCGATTAATTCATTGTGTCAATAGCTTTGCATATTCATGCTGGGTTTGGATACATGCATGCAATTAGCTGTGTCAATAATTCAACTCATCTACAGAGCGAATATTCTTTTTTTTTATTTTGCATTTTGTAACAATCCAAAGCGCTTGCATGAGTTAGTTAAGGAGTAGAATGAGACAAAATGCTTTTGATAATGATCGTCAGAGATAGATCTCCCTTAAGTTGCTTAGCAATCTCTCTATAGGTATGTATTTAGCGTGTCGATATTAGCTATAATCTAAGACAAATCCATGAGTCACCGAAGTGAGCTTTAGCACATTTACTTGAGTTGATGAAAAATTAGCCCTATTCGTCTTTGAAGCATTAAAGAGTCTTTTTTGAAAAATATGATGAAAAAGTGCTCACATAAAGTTTTGGTTTTTTAAAAGAAAACTAATAAACGAAATTTGTATTGTAATATGCCCAAAGATAGATTATGAAAAGTTGAACAAAATTAGCTACTCTCATACTATGTTTTAATTGACCAAACGCATTTCATAAGATAAGTACTGTCTATGAAAACTCATTTTTCGAGTAGAAAAGACTACCAATTTGTTTTCATTGTTTCAGCTGCCATTAGGTCATTATACAAGGCCTCAAGCTGATTTTGATATATACTATGACACTTTTCTTCCCTTATAAAATGATGAGGGTGTGAGTGTGGAGGTAAGATGTCGACACTGAAAATATCAACGTACGCACCTACATCCATATTCACCCTCCGGTTGAGCGCGGGTGGGATTTATGGGTTGTAGGTATCGGTTTGGGTGTTGATATGGATCTTATCTTCACTCATACCCATCGACACCCACACTAACTCATGTCGACACCCGTACCGACACCTCACACCCACCCCATATGGATTTTTGCGTTGAAACTTGTTCTTAATATGTGTAGCAAATGTTATCTTTCTTCTTTTTTTTTGTTTGTTAAGCTGAAGAGTAAAGCTGTTGTTATTTGAAATAGCAAAATTTTATCAGAGGTGATCATGATCTTGACTTCGACAATTTTTTCAGAAAACCCGACTCCGTCAGAGTTGAAATCAGACTTCGGAGTACTCTACAGGTCTCTAGTTTGAGTGTAGGTATGAGTTGAGGAAATAAACTATACGTCTACACCTATAGGTATACCAAAGAGAAGGATGAGAAACAATCCAACCAAAGAATTAATTGTGCAGACAAACAGTAAAACGAGGTTAAAAGAGAAATATACGTGTAAAGTGTCCAGAATAGAGTATCAAAGTAAAAAGAGTTTTTGATGGAAATATGAAAAAAGAAGAACATATATGAAGTATTCGTGGATGAAAAGCATTGAAGAAAACGAAATGACAAATTGATATAACTAATATTTGGGATCGCATTGATACTGTTTTCCTTAATTTCTATAAAAATAGAACATTGATGAATCTAATCAAGATCGTAACGAGGTTGATTACAAGCACGATGATAACAATCATCAGCAAGGGTACCAGTAGGATCTTCACAAAGAGTACCATTACGATCCCGATAATAACCACCATTAGTCATACGACTAAGACGATGATCTCCTCCGGCACTAGGACCAGGGCGTGCAGCGTTGAAAGCATCCATAATCGGAAGTAAAACTGCACTACTAGCACGACAGACACCATTATAAAGACGAACAGCCGGATTAGCATGGTCATCTAAACAAACAAATATCTTTTTTTTATCTTTATCTAGAATTATGAAAATAAGTATTAAGTTTTCAAAGTTATTTCAAGATTCAGAACTTTTTGGCTTATAAGTATTTGTACACGACAACTTGAATATTGTCTCTCGCCTATTATTGTCTACCCACTTGCAAATACCGATGAAAATCATCAGAATAAATGAACTATACAAGATCTTGTGATATTCAGCCAAAGATATCAATCAAGTTTATCATGCAAGACGATATTGGCATTATTATGAAATGTTTTTATAAGAGAAATCGATACCATAAAGCTTGGACTTTCGTTTGTGTATCTTAGACACCGATCTGTCAACAATTCTCTAAACAACGTTGCATAGTTGTCGTACATTGATCGATCTCTATGACTTCCGATGTGATGAATTCCAATTATGAACCATATAACATATTAATTCGATAAATTAAGATAGTAGTTAAATAAAACATCTTTTTTTTTATATCGTTTCTTCAAAATAAAAAAGGTATTTTAGCTGATCTTTCTCGGCGTTTTTTTTTATTCAATCAATTGATTCAACAACTACCCTTCTCCATCGCGATAATAATTTTTATTAATTCGACATATTCAACAAGAGATAGATTTAAAATACCCATTTCTACGATTTGAGGCAAAACAACATGATAATTGTAGCTTTAGAATTCTTCCATTTCCTATCTGATGACTATTATCTTACTACAACTTGATCAAAATATTCCTTTTTATTTTTTTTCAAAAACTTACGAATCAGTTAGTTCAAGCGATATTTATAATAACTGCTTAATTTGAAGAGTCTATTCTGGACATGAATATGAAAATAATTTTGACATGATTTCCTTTTCAGAGACAAACATGTATTTGGTAATGAAATGGCTAAAAATACGTCATATGCTACATGTAAAATAGGATAAAAAAAAAACTGGTAATGTTAAAAAAGGTGCTATTAAGTTACAGTATGAGAAGAAGAACGAAAGATAAAAAAACCAGAAGCCTCAACTTTTGAAGGTCTATTTATCATTGTAAATTTTCCAATATCAAGCATCTCTTGTTCCATGGTCAATAATAGTAACATCATGACGAATCTTCTTAACTTCGACAAAAAAAATTATGCTTATCAACAGAAATAAAATAGGTCAATAAAGAGGGACTATAAATATGATAGAAAGACAAATTTAAAAACATACCATCGACATTGTGTGTAAGAGTCAGATAGATTTCATGTTTATTCTTGGATGGATCGTAACGAGTACCATTAATAGTAAAACACACACCGGGATGAATAAGTTCTTCTTCTTCATCTGGATATTCAGATAATGGACTTAGATCTGTTGTATAAGCATAATTTACTTGCATGACGAACAAAACATTACCGAATTGTTCAGCTTTAGCTCGACTTCGACTAGACGAAGTGAACGCTTGAAATGAACCTCGTTGATCGGAACTACGAGAAAGTTTAGTATACTGAGCAATCAAATCATCGGATAAATTAGCTCCTCGATATAACATTTTTCCTCCAGTAAGTGGTAGATGATTGTACGGATCATCCCATAATAGTAAGCAGAACGGTCCAAATGTACGAGTTTTACTTCGCCATACATTTTCATGTTCTTTACTTCCTACTAATCTCATAGTCTCATTGATTTTCTTGTAGAGAAAACTTTCCATTGTGTAGAGACGAGCACAACATCTCCATACTTCCTTCACTCCATTGTTTTTCTCTTGCATCAATTGATTAGCCATCCATTCAGCTTCACGTGTTTTTCCTATATTTTTACCTTCTTCAATAATACCTTGAGCAGCTTTTTCAACCAGCATTGGAATGATTCGTGGATTATGTGATGGTGATTCTTCTTTTTTAAGTTTTAACTCTTTTTTTGTGTGCATTATGAAATTAGAAGTCCAACCACGTAGGCCACTAAAAGGATTTTTCGCTGGAATAGGACTTATCATGAAACGTTCTTCTCGTAAGTGTGTATTCATTCTATGCCGTACTTGTCGTTGAATAGGTCTTTGGTCGTTAATATCATTATTGGATACTTGAATGTTATTTTCGAAATCAATGTAGATCTCGTCTAATGTAGCGATTGGTAGTCCAGCTTTGAATGCATCTTCAATAATCCGATTTTCCACATCCGAGTAACGACTCCATTTGATTGACTGAGATGCCAACGATGGATCCGAGTCTGATAACCATGTCCATTCAACGTTTGCCGAAGGATCAATGCGTGCTGATGTTTGATTACTCATTTCTGTCAACTTATTGGTAGATACTTATGTATTTGTCTAAAAAAGACACAAAATATTATTTGTTTTAATTGTAATGATTCATTGATGTTGAAAATATGTTATCATTGTTGAACCAAGTAAAGTCATAAATGTATCGGAAAACTGATTTTTTCTTGAAAAAAATTTCAAATTTGAACTCAAATTTGGTTTGATTTGTGTATCGCTTACATGTCTAAATCTTTTACAGCGAAGAAACATTCTAGACTAGAAAAATTTTGCCTTGCCCTGATGAAGCATTACGACGACTCGATACGATCGTACACGGCGCTATCCAACCTAAAAAAATCATCGGGTCATCACCCTTCTCCAAACCATTAGAAATCATTTCGGATGTTGTCATAATATAGGACGCTACGAGAAAGCTCTAAATAACGAGATCTCCCTTGATAAATCATGAAACATCTTGAAAAAAATCTCAGAAAAACAAAAATATCCAATATTCGGATTTTTTGCGCGTAAAAGTCACTAGAAAATCCATTTTCTAACACTCATCAGAAATCAACTCTGATATTTCCACCAGATAAAGTGCAACGAGAAACCTCTACATATTGGAGTCTCCTTCGATAAATCATAAAAATCCTGAAGAACTCTTAGCAAACAAGAAAACATCCAATTTTCGGATTTTTTCCCATCGAAAAAGTTCTATTTTCGGATTTTTTGGTGGAAAAAAATTACGATTAACTGGCTCCACTGAAATGCATCGGAACTCATCTCTTATAGCCTCGTCCGATAGAGTGCATTAAGAAATTGTTACTTATTGGGATTCCCTGCTGGAAATGCCGAGAAATATCGAAGAAACGAATGGCGCAAAATTTCCTGAATATTTTTTTCGGATTTCTTCGAACTGACAGAGAACATGGGAAGAGAATGATGCTTTACACTACTATTGCTTTTTTCTTAGTGAATGCTCAGTTGATCCATCATGATTGTTTGTTGATGTCAACATTGATCAACGTCAGTAAACGGTTTAGGTTTGTGATAGTATTCGGCTGGTAGGTCAACAATAACGATGATCATTTATGAAGGTGAAAACGACCGTATACAGCCAACTACGGTGAAAAGCTATGATCGTTTCCATTATCATGTGGAGTCGTGGTATATGATCGTAAACGTTGCTATACGACGGACGTTCACGGCACCTTCATATTCACGGGAGTCGTTAACGGTGGTGTTTCACGGTCATTGGTTACTGTGACAGTAGACAGTCCCCCTAAACTGTTGTCCTAAGTAGCCGTAAATGACTGGTATACGACCGTTTACGATCAACAATGCTTCACCAGGATCAGATAGGACTCTGCATGAAATAAACTCGAGTGGAAGTTAAACGAATACTGAATAATATTAAGAGTAGAAAAAAAAGCTAACATGACAATGAAGCCTACCATGATTTCTTTTTTCCTTCTATAAACGTACTTTTTTTATTCGCTTGCTTCAAAAATAATTTTTTTTGCAATTAATAACATCAAGAACAACTAACGGTTCTGTTTCTTTCCATTCAAATAAATTTATAGTTATTTTCGAAGAAGAGAGAAAGTCGATACCGGCGTTGCTTATTGTTTCTAAATCATTACTTGAGTCAGAGCAAACGTGATTATTCAATGCGTCAACAGAAAAATAAATCGACTATGTTATTTTAATAGAAAACATCGAGTACGCATGACTTCTACGCAATTCTATCCACTCGTTAGGCATATGATCACAAGAAAAATTCTAAATGTATCACTTAAGATTATTCTAGAGTAGGATAAAATAAATCAAAAAAAATTTATTTATTTCATTCATCAAAATAAGATAGCTATCAATCATTCACTTCATTAGTCTTCTCCTTTTTCATACTTCAGAAGTTCTCTGATTCTATTTTTTTGCTTTTCTCAAAGAACTCATAAAAACAACCTCAATCTTTTTTCAACAAAAAAATAATTTTATTTTTTCTTTTACTACAACATGCTCGAACAAAACAAGCGTATTTTTTCCTTTCATTCAATAACACTTTTTTTCTTAAACACTCCTCGAATCAATCTGACTTTCTCTGCACGAGGGCAAACGATGAAAAAATGTGGTGCATATGCCGCCTTGTTTTTCTTGACTCGTTCGATGTTAACTAATTTTTCTGTGTACGTTGAAAAAGCAAAAAAAATGCAATAGATGATTGACAATGATACGGACCTTGTTTAATAAACTACTTTTTCAGCACTGACCTCAAATAATAAAAGGTTCCAGGGTGTGGGCATGTTTATGAATGTGTTGGTGTGGGAGGTGAGTATAGATGTGGGTGATAGTCTTATTTTCATCCACACACTCATCCACACTCATTCTCACTCCAAGAATTACATTTCTTAGAATTTGTTGCAATGGAAGAAAAAGTAGTCATTTTGTTATATCTCGGTTGTTATAATATAATTCGAGAAGTGGTTTTCACCATTCGATGCATCTCATCAAGTTGTGCTTAATGCAGTAAATAGCTTTGTTGGAGCAGTTCTCTAGGCGAATCAGCCCTCAAAATATTCGAATCTCGGCCTAAGATATTCTACGTGTCCTAACCATCTAATATTTTGTATTTGAATATAATTAGAGTATGACCTTCGTTTGAGATAGATAAACCGAAAAACAATTTTTTTTATAATTTTTTCATCTGCAGCTCACAGACACGCTAGGATAGTTCTGTGATGAACTATTTCTTAAATTATACGCACGATCTTCCATGACATAGTCAAGACATTATATGAACCATCAATAATAATAAGCTTCAGCAGCAGTTTTTTCTTTATTAGTCGTGATTACAATTCAACTAATGAAGTATCAATAATACAAATGAAAAACGAAAGAAGAATTCGCTGAACTTGAACTGTTTAAAAGAAAAAATCTTGAATAAAATTTCTTGAAAATAAAGGTTTGATTACCAACCTTGCCGTGGGTGTGAGTGTAAGTATGGCTATGGATTTGAGCGTAAATGTAAACAATTTCAAGTGATCCACTCCCACTCCTACTCACCTGCATCCTATACAACCCTAATCAAAGTTGTAATTAAGCTTCACTCTGGAGTTAACACAATAGACTCATAGCTAAGTGGAGCATCAGTCGTTGTCTCAGTTTTACTTATTATGACTACTAGAAGTTCGATTTGAATATTCGTATGAAATCCAGAGAGGTGAAGTTTAATTTGAACCTGATAATCTATAAGGATTTGTTGTCCAGTAGACCAGAAGGGAGGATGATATGAGTAAGTAGCCGGAAGCGTATTTGGCAAAGAAAATAGCATTCTATCGTTCACGTGATTGCTTTTAAGTCTTTGGGTATCCGTGATTTTCTGCTAGGTTATGATAAACTGTTCCTTCTGAGCAAAAGAGAATTGTTGATTTTGAATGAGTTTACCCGATATTCGACGTATCGTGGCTCGATCTGGATTGTTAATTTCGAATTCAACTGTCAACGTAGTTCCAGCAACGACGAGACTATTTTCGAGATAACAGCGTAGACGAACACCGTTTCGATTTTCTTTTTGATCTTCGACTCGAGTCCCATTCACAATTTTCAAGGAATGTTGAACAGGAATGATGAAAGTTTTTTTAATATTCTTTCGGCCTCCTTCGGACCGGATGAGTTCAAAATAAATGAAGTATTGAATATATTGAGATTCGTGACGGATTTGTGCAACTGAAGATGGAAGCTAATGGGGCAGAGAGAAACTAAACGGCCAATCGTGTTTGCCAGGCGTAAGGGCATGTTGGTCCTGCTCACAGAGCAGACATGAAATGATTGATACGACGAAAAATGGTTCCATATGCGTTATTATTTGTGTCACCTGACTACTGGAATGAAAAGTGAAATAAACACAATGACCAACGAAAATACCTTTCATCCTATTGAATTTCAATTCGGTGGGAGCACTATTGAAAAACTCGATCATACCAGAAATTGAGTCGCCCGTTTGGTACGTTTTCTTGCCCTATTCATTTAGTTGCAGTGAAACATTAGATATGGATACGTTAGGACGGCTCCCCATCGATATCAACGAAATGATGTAGTATTGAAGAATAATGCTCTGGAATCAACACATGAGTTAGATAGAAGCATTGAAAATGTTAGCGTCCATGATGGATCACTTGGACGCTAAACGATGATTAAGATGCGCCTTCTAGTCTAATTGGCTTAGGACAACTGCCCGGATAGCAAAAGGTATGGGTTCGAGTCCCATGAGGATGTGGGTGTGGGTGTCGGTGTGGGTGTGGGTGTGTGGATGTGGGTGGGTG